AAAAAAGGGGAGAGGGAGAGGTATGAGGGGGAGAAAAAACTCCGAGTACAAATGTGAGAACTGAGGAAAAAAAGAGCAAAAACTGCAAAAAAATAAAAAAGGTAAGAATGCAGACTAGAAAAAAAAGAATAATGATAATACGAATAAGGTGGGGTGAGAGTCTGTGTATATGAGTCATCCGTCCTAGATCCCCTGGGGTGTGTGTGTGTGTGTGTGGGGGGGGGGGGTATTCTAACCGAGCCCCTGGCTTCTCCTCCCCACCACTGGACAAGGCCCCAGTCATTAAACCCCTGGCTGCCAGCCAGCTCTTTTAACACAGGCAAGAGCCTTTTACGGCATGTCTGTAGAAAATAAATCACAGTGTGTGAATAATATATCTCTGGCGAAGGCATTGGCAGGAGAGAGGGGGGAGGGGGAGGACGGAGAGATTGGTGAATTATAGTTGTCTCCATCCATGCATTACGTTCTCTTTATCCCCAGCCAGATGTGCTCAAAGACAGCAGAATACAGAATGTAACAAATTGCACATTACTCTGGTGGTGAGAATGTGGACTTAACTGCCTCTTTGTATGCGCTGAGTCCAAAGAATGCTGTGCATAGCATATTTATAAATAAGAATTTCCTTTACAGGTCTTACAAGTCTTCATTTTAAACAGGGAATCCCTATTAACGCTGCCTAAAATCCACACAACCAGCAGAGAACAGACACCCATTATCACTGAGGTAAAGCCTATTCTCAATCTGCGTGTTAAAAATCCTACATAACCAGGGATGTTTGAGATCATACAGCTGTTTTTTAAATTTATTTTTAATATGTGTGCAGCATCGTAAACACAGATTAATTGTGCAGATTGTGCTTTATTGTTATTAATCATTAAAGAACTGGGACTGGATGCAGGAAATGTCACCATGTTTACTTTGTAAACGCAATGGATAAATGGGATTTAAGTTTACAAAATTGTGAGTGTTACATTTTTGATTAGTATGTTAAAACAAATCATGCTTTCACTTTCCTTTAATTGCTTTGTGTAAAGAATATCATAAATATCAATACAAAGTACCAACAAGGTGTCAAATGATAGCTGGTTCCACAAAGTAAAAACACTAAATAAAAACAATGAACAGTTTCAGAGTCTTGGCAGAGAGCCTGTTGAAAGTAAATAAATACTCGTAAAAGGCTCTTACCAGTGAGCGAGGAACTGGAACACGYTTGTAGCTGCTCTGGTTCCTGCCTGGACGTCTGAAAGGACATTAAGCCCTGATCTCCAAAGACAGCGAGCCTCGTCCTCCTGCTCCTCTCAACACACTCGTCGTCTTGTAACCCAGAGAAGAGGTCAGAGGCTGGCTTTGACCGCTGCGATTGGCTGCTGTAGCTGCTCATGAAGCTCTTTGCAGGCTGTGCAGCCTGATGGGAGTGAAACTGGCTGTCAGCGAGGGAGTGTGTGGACAGTTGGTCCGACTCAAAAATTCCCAGGCTGGAGCCCAGGGTAGAGCTTCTGGCATTGCCCTTCTGCTTCTCCAGATGCCTCGCAGAACCCTGACTGCCCAAGTCTCTCCTTTCACTCAGCATGCTGAGACGAGCGCTGGTCTTAGCTCCACTGAAAAGTCCTCCCAGCTCCTGCCGGTCTCGTGGAGAGAGGAGGGGTTCGTCTTTGTGCTTATGTTTATGCTTGTGCTTTCTCTTATGGAGACGGACCCCTGCAAGCCCGCCTGCACCACCATTGCTCAGGGATCCCAGTCCCTCTCCTCTTACAGTGGGCCCCTGGAGGGGACCACTAGTGCTGCGAATCTTAGCCCCTGCCTGCAGCTTGGAGTGTCCACTGGAGTGGAAAGCCTTGGGAGGAGGAGGGACAGCAGGCCTCATGAAAGGAGATGGAGGTGCAGGTCCAAGTGCGTGGTGGGGCAGGTAAAATGGGGGAGTGGGAGGGAAGTAGCCCAAATTCAGAGGAGGTGCGTAAGGCATTGCATACGGTGCTGCATAGTAATTCCCCCCTCCCAGCGGATAACCATACCCTTGAACAAAAGGCAGTTTAGATGTGATTGGCTCGCTGGCTTTGGCTGGACGACCACGTCTTCTTTTAGCCTTCAGATCGACGCTCCGGCGGAGATAGGAGCCCGAATCACAGGGGTAAGTGTCGTAGCTAATCGGGTAATAGTGATGAAAGTTGAGGCGGAAAATGGAAGGATATGGATGCTGGGGGTAGCAGGTGTATTGTCTGTGAGACACTCGTAACTGCTGGAGTTTTAACACAACCTAGAAGAAAGTTGAAAACAGAGAAAACAAATATAAATAAAAAAACACATATTTTACTAAATGCCTGTTCATTGTGATGCCCAATCAAAGAACAAAGATGTGATTTATCATGTTGTATCTGACCTCTTCCAGTTCTGCGAGAAAGTGAAGGTGATCTCGGCTCTGTAAGCACTTCCTCTTTCTCCGATGGTGTTTCTGCTTCTTTTCCTGCTGTGACAGGTAGTTATCCACAGCAGTGACTTGCCGTTCACAGCGTGTTCTGCTGTTTCTGTTGGATGCATCCAGAGCTGCAGCCTCAGGAGATTCAAACCCACACAAGTCAAACGAGTACCTGCATAAACACAGCAAAAAAAATCACAATAAACCACCACAATTACGGCTACATCGAGTCCAGTAAATAAGAAAATAAAGGTTCAAGCAAATAAAACAGGCATAAGTTGTGAACTGCACCTGCGACGAGAGGCAGGACCCTTTTCGGTTTGATCTGACGTGCTGTTGTTGTCTGTCCCAATCCCGCTGTCGCTTGGAATGGTCTCCTCGCTGTGGGACTCACTGATGGGGGACAGGGTCACCTCTTTCACTGATGCCCCCTCTGACAGGTGGGAGGGTGAATTAGCCAGAAGACGAGGAGGAGAAAGTTTCCAACCCCCTGACAGAAAGCCCCTGCCTAGATGTTTCGAAGGTAGGGCTGAGATAGGCTGTAAACTGGGCATGGTGGCATCAACACTGGCTCTTAGGGATGGAGCACTTGAAGTGGGAGATGAGTTGGTGGAAGGCACTGCAGGGCTATCATAAAAACTGGACGTGGACATGGACATTAGTGGCCTGTCCCTCGTAGTTTTAAGAAGGATGGAGCCTTGTGTTTCAGCTCTGGGTTTCCGCCCTCTCTTCTTTCCAATGTATATGGTACCTCTCTTGCTGACGTTGATCTGTTTTCCCAATCGGGCCTCAATGGTGGTCGCCATGGCACTCATGGCTGAGGAGACAGGAGCTGAGGGTGACTTCAGAGCCAGAGAGCCATTCTGACTGGACCCTGAAAGGATCTCGTTCAGGATGCTCTGCATTTTCCCAAGCTTTGTTTTATTCAAAGACCTGGGATGGCCCCTGCCACGCTTCACTTTCAGACCATTAGAACTGTCGTTGGCCGTTATAGAGGCCATTTGAACTAATGTGGTCAGAGCATGTGTCTTTCTCCTGCGGTTCAGTCCTGCGGATGTGTCTTTTGTCAGTGGGCTCGGAGGTGAAGTGGACGTGCCCTCGTGAATGGTCTCAACGGTTAGGAGAGGCTGTTTCTTTGGGCGCCCTCGTTTCCTCTTGATGGGAGCGTGGACAGTTAGGCTGTCGATGTTGGTGTAGAGTGGGCTTGAGGGGGTGATTGGAAAAGCAGAGGGTGGATCTGCTAATGTTGAGGGGCTACCCATGTTTTCCCTCTGAGGTGATGTGAGACTGGTGTGAGTCTTAACTCTCAGGTAGGACCATCTGTCRTTGGGCTTGATTGGTTTGGAGTTGACAGCAGAGCTACTGCTGTTGCTGGGACTGGGACTCAAGTCAGCTCTGTGTCTCGGGCTTGGACTAGGGCTTAAGTTAGCCCTAGGTTTAGGGCTGGGAACAGGACTGATGCTACCCCTAGACCTGGGACTGGGTAGTTTGGGGTTTACGTTAAGATTAGGCTTGTTGATATGATTGTATGTAAGCTCTCTGAGTTTAAGGGTATCTGTGACACTCTTCGGACGACCCACAGAGTTCTTTTTCACTCTGTTTGCGCTCTGATCTGATTCTTGGTCAGGCCCACTTGTAAATGCCTCTCCTCTTTCTGTTTTGTCTGCCCACTCTCCTTTATCCCTTTTATCACCCTTATCTCCCCTCTCTGCTTTTTCAATCTGTTCTGCGCTACCATCTACCTGACTTTTCAGGCGAGACTCGTTTTTGTGAGCCTCTGCCTTATGTGCTACTTTGGGTTCTGGGGGTCCACCCTGGGATTTCTCAGTAGCATCCAGAGTATGAAGCTGCAATTGCTCCTCCAAAGGAAAAGACTCATCAAACGAAGGCCTCCTCCGCCTCTTTCTTCCCTTCCCATCCTCTGCCAGCAAGGGCATTCCTCTCTCCTCTTCATCTCCTCTCCTTCCAGCATTCATTTGCTCTCTTTCTTCTTTTCTCCGTTCTTCTCTGTCTTCACGGAGCTGCTCAGCCRTCTCTTCTTGCCTGTACTTCTGCCTCTCTTCTGAATTACCTGGACTCTCTGATCCTCCTTCTGGCTGCTTTCCCCAGTGTGTCTCAGCACCATGGGGATTACAGAGCACCTTCTGAGAGTCCTTCCTGCCGTATTTCCTCTTGATGTTCCCAAAGAGCTGTTCGCTGACTTCCTGCAAACCCTTGCCCCTGGAGATATACATAAATAGATAATATAGTTAAAATAAAAGGAGAAAGAATGTTTTGTACAAAATCAATCTTGCTTCTATTTTTGCTTTATCCAACAYAAAGTGCAACTCTACCTGCTCAGAGAGGTAAGGTTGAGAATACTGGCATCCGTAACAACTGGCAGCTGCAAGTCTGGGGTCATAGATCTCTGAGGTGAGGGACTCTGTGTTGCTGTTCGTGAATAGAGTTGCGTCGGATCAAGCATAGAACCTCTACCTGCTCCTGGCAAATCCCCGGCTGGCTCAGAGTCTGCCAAATGGACCAGTGATGAAAAGGGAGCAGCAGACGAAATCCACTCTGGACTGATTCGATGCTGTTGTGTGTTCATGTGTTGGAATTTTTGCGCGAGGCTGTGCTGTGTCGGCTGCGTGTTTGGGAGAGTATTTGCAGAAGGAAGGGAGCCGCGGAGCTGGTGTTTGGGCAGAGTGGGATCTCCCAGAAGTTGTAGAAGGCCTCCTTCTCTCTGCTCCGGCATTCTGAAGTGGCGCTCGTACGTCTGTAGCCGACAGGAAAGAAAGAAAGACTGGTTACTACACACCAACTGCAATCACTTGATAGCTTTATATAGCTGCAGACAAATGAGATAATGATAGTGTGATCAGAAAACTATGACGACTCTGTTTCCTGTTTACACAAGCGGAAGAAAAAAAACTTCACAGACAGATTACATACGCAGCACAACAACCAGTTAGAGCAGATTTTCCTTTTGTGAGCACATTTTAAATCAACGAATTGTTGTGCTCTAATATGGCATTCATCTCTTTTTGCTGCAGAGCGAAAGATTTTAATAYGTCTTTTGTGCATGAGTGAACAATGTGCAACGAAACAAAGGGCTTGTTTACAGAGCAATTAAATTCCTGTGGCAAGGATGTTGCATGCTGTGAGCGCAAGGGAGGGTTTTCTGAATAGATACAGCATTATAACACACAGTAACTTAACTCAGCCAGGTCTCTGTCCTAGATCTAGAATTTTTTGTTATGTATTGTCTTCATTTTGACTATCCGTACAAAAAAATGTCTAAATTTCCTGTTTTTGAGTAAAAATGTCAATTTGACTGCTTTCCACACATAACTGCATGTGCAATATTTTGATGTGTTAGACAAGAACACCCCTCTTAATGTATCACTGTTGCGTAATCAGTGTGCTGCTGGAAGACGAGAAATTGAGCAGCGGATGGCCTTTGTGGTTTAGCCTGTTATTAACAGGCTCAGTATGACGCAACAAGACACTGCTCTGCTGCACAGCAGGGAGATGTAACCTAACCACAGGCTTGCCTCTCATGCCTCTCATGGTCATGTACACACAGGCATGCAAGTGCGCTCACACAGACACACACACACACACACACACACACACACACACACAC